GGCCATTTGCAGAATATATGTATATGTGTGTTGCAGCCCTAGGTTAGCAATGCTTTACTTAGTGTATTATGAGGGAGAGTTGATCTGTTTACTTCTGTTCATTTGGGGCACAAGAAGATCCTTTGCTTTGAAAACAGTTCTTCCTAGAGATAGTAGGCCATCTTTCCTGGAAATGGAAGGATGTCTGTTTCCTTTCACAATTATTAGTAGTAGCTGCCCATTCACTGCTTTCAAGACAGGTTTGTCTTGGTCCTCCTTGGTCATTTTTAAAAAGAGAACAGGAAATGCTCATTTTCCATAACAGGATTTGAGGTATTTTCTGCATATTCAGATGCCACTAGGATGCTGCCAGGCTATCTCATGAGAGAGGATTGCATCATCCTCATTATTGTTGAAGTTGTCCTAATGTTTGCTGCTGTGAAAGGTAACTGGCAGTGCAGACCTATGCAGAGTTGCACCCTTTTAAGCCCATTAATATCAACAGACTCAGAAGGGCATAGCTCTGCTTAGGATGGCAATATAGTGCCTCGTGATGGAGTGAGCTCCTGTCTCTGACCCCATCTCCTGCCAGCATAGCAGTTCGAAAGCAAGAAATTGCAAGTAGATAAATAGGTACTGCTTTGGGGGGAAGGTAACAGCGTTCTGTGTGCCTCAGCATTTAGTCATGCCGGCCACATGACCATGGAAATGTCTTTGGACAGCGCTGGCTCTTCAGCTTGGAAACAGATTAACACCACCCCCTAGAGCTGGATTTGACCAGCAAGGGAAACTTTTACCTTTATAACAGAAATTAATATTAATGCCTCATTCCCCTCCCCATGTTCTTTAAGACTTTGTCCTATTTATTTCTGTTGCAAAGAAAGGCAAAACAAAAGGGGTATGACTTCTCATGCTCATTATAATTGCAATTGAATTATTTTACCTTTGTGTAAAATATGATTAGAAATAAGAATGAGCATTTAACCCGTATGAGGCACTGAGCATTAAGTGCTGGTCAGCTAGGATGACCAGAAGCTTACAAAGAATGAGAGGAATGCAGGAGCGTTGCTAGTTGCTTGTCATTCAGCAGGGAGAAGAAGAGCTGACCAGTACCCAGGAGAATTGTAACATATCATTGAAGCATGACTGGCTTTTCTGCTTTATGGAAGAGAGGAGCTGAAACAGGGACTGTTCTTTGAGCTTGTGATCTGGGATGCATTTGATGGAGCACAGACATCACTAAAGATGCATCTTTCAAGCATTTTGTTTCTTTTTTCCTAGTCCTAGTCACTTTTTTCCTAGTCCTTTTTGGAAGTTTTGAACTGCAAACAAACTGCCTGTAATGTATATACTGATGTCAGGGCATTGGGGTAGTACTGCACTGGGTTTTTCGTATTGACAGAAGATCTGTCCAGATTGGTGGAAGAAGGATTTGTTCAAGGTTACTTTTAAGAGGGAACGTAATTTGTGTCTCCATATGCATCACTGATTGATTTAGCCATAAGGAAAACAAAAAATTATGTAGAACACCAAATCCCCACTTGACAGCTAGAAAATCTGCTTAGCACCCCTCACCTACTAGTTTCTGAGATTTCTCTAAACTTTGAAATTTCAGGATCTTCTATACTGTTTTAAGAGCTAGAAGATTTACTACTGTATGCCAGTACCAACCTCTGTTTTTGTGCTCTGTGTGTGTGTGTGTATGTATAACTACAAATATGTAAATAAATTATTTCTCTTGTGTCCCACATTTCTTCCTCACGGGGACCCAAAGCAGTTTACATCATCCTCCATCCTCCATTTGATCTTCACAACAACCCTGAACAACCCTGTGAGGTACATTAGGCTGAGAATGTGTGACTGGCCCAAGATTACCCAGTGAACTTCCATGGCAGAGTCGGGATTCAAACACAGGTCTCCCAGATCCTAGTCCAACACTCTTTATGTTTATAAAATAAAAGAATAACCATTTCAGTCTCAAAATAAATCAACAGAAAAGTAGAGAAGCTGGTAGACTGAAGCAGAAGAATAACAACCAAAACCAGAGTTAGTAGGGTTAGGGCAGGCAAACCTCTCTGAAGAAGGCACTCTAGAGCTGTGTTGTCAAGCAGCCCCACCTGCCTTGGCTCTGATTATCCAGAAACGACAAGACCTTAGCTGAAGATCTCAGAGCAGGTATCCCCACTGTGGTGACTGTGGGTGCCATGGCACCCAGTGACCCCCTTTGCTGGTGCCCACCAAGTGTGTTTAGAACGTAGCTGGGGCCAAGTAAGGTTTTTGTCTAGCAAGGCTTCTGTCTGGACAATGGAGATTTGATTGGCTATGCAGATTTGTAAAAATGTTACTCTGGCAGCAGCTGCCGCTGCAGCACAGGCATCTTCACTGAATGACTGAAGATAAGCCACAGCAGCCATTTTTGCACTCCTGCAGCAACTATTTTGTGCCTGTGCCCATCACAGTCTTTCAGAACTCCAGAGGTGCCCTCAGGCTCCAAGAGGTGGGTGATCCCTGTCCTAGAGAATGGGCAGGTCCATACAGGAGATGGTCTCTCAGGCCATTCAGGACTTGAAAGGTTACAGCCAGCACTTCGAATTGTACTTGCAAGCAAAACAGAAGCCAGTGCAAATTTAACAGAATGCATCTAGCCATGTTTTTTCCAGCACGTTCCTGTTAATAATCTTGTACTAGGGCCCCGGTCACACGAACAGTTTTGGGCCGGGAGAGGGACGGATCAGGGGCGCAGCAAACGGGTGTGATCCCACCGCAACATCTGGGAAGCGTTGCGCACCCGTCCCCGATCCGGCCCTTCACCCGAAAAGCCGCAGCAAAAATAAACCACCTACCGAGGCGGTTTTTCCAGCACACCGCATCAAAGCCTGGCCGTGGGCTCGCCAGCGTGTCCTTCTGCCGGCGCATCCCCGGCTCCTGGCTGAACTGCGCATGCTCAGACATGCGCAGTTCGGCAGTCTCCCTTTTCCCACCGTGGCTTCCCCCGGCATCTGATCCTGGCGAGGAGGGAATGCGCCGCGGCTCAGGAGATCAATGTGATCCCACCGCCGCTTGTTTCTTTTGGTGCAGCTTTATAAAGCCGCACTTTCGCCCATTCCTTTCTCTTGTCTCTCTCCTGGTAGAGTGACCAAAGGACATGTACACCAGATCTACATTGAAAGATGGATCAAAATAAGTCCAGATAGCCCCGATCTGGATAGTCCAGGCAAGCCTGATCTCATCACATCTCGGAAGCTAAACAGGTCCGACCCTGGCAGGTATTTGGATGGGAGACCTCCAGAGAATATCAGGGCTGGGAGGCCAGAGGCAGGCTATCAAGCCAATTCCCTGAATGTCCTCCATGCCCCAGTAGGGGTCATCATGACTTCATGACACACAAACACAAAAATACAAAAAAAAAAAAATAGGTCCAGATAGTTGGGATCCTCCAGAATAAACTGGAGCTGGGCTACCACTATGACTTCATGAATCTTGCCTAGGAAGGGGAGATTCATAACCCACCAATAATTGGATTAAGGCTCAGCGAGAAATATTTATCTTCTGTAGCAAACACTTGCTGTCATTTGTTTGATGTTTGTGGTTTGTGTGGTTAATCGTCTTTGCCAAAGAGGCTTATCTTCCAACATCAAATTAATATTCTCTGGTATAATTTCATTTTGCATTTCAAGCCTTCCGTGATAATATCCCAGGATGCAGTTGGCAGTGTTTTTGAAACCACTGAATGGTGCAGTCGAGTAATCACAATCAAAGGAGAGTTGCAGCTGTTTTCCACATAATTCACAATAACCCCCCACAAATACACACATACTCATTATTGCACTATTAGCTCCATTGTCATTCCATGCCTGTCTGAAAAACATCACATAGACAAAGTGTGAATGGAACCTTGGAGAAGCTACATCTTCCAACAGAGTGGAAGGGACCCATTTGAACAGTGCACGGAATGGCTACTGAAAGGGCTTCTTTGTGACATGGCAGTGCTTACATGTAGGAAAACTTCCTCACTGTGTAGTTCAACCAGCTGTAGTCTCTACACCTGCAACATACATTACTGGTGGCCACTGACATTGACATGGAGAGCGTGTGTTGCATTTGGGAAGCCTTGTGATTTAATGGCTTTCAGACATTTCAACCCTTCCATTTCTGCATGGAGCAAGCTCTTCCAATCATTCACACATCATAACTTCCAGAGGTGAACAATTGTGTATCATCTTTCATGCTCAGTGGCAATGAAGTACAAGTGTGTTTTTTCCCACCTTTCTTCAGGGGAAGTCTTTCATTAAAGATGCTCTGAGATGCAAGGCTCATGCCTTACGGCACAGATTCAGCTGCATCAGTCGCAAGTGCCCCGCCATCAAGGACATGGTCTTCCAGTTACAACGAGACTGCTATGAGAAGCACAATCTTTGCTCTGCAGCTAAAGAGAACGTCCATGTCATTGTGGAGATGATTCACTTCAAAGACTTGCTGCAGCACGAGTAAGTAGGCATCACATAGAGCTTGGGGCCATGGCAGAATGTGGGAGGGAGTCTCAAGCAGAAATCCTGCCTCCTTTACCGCCAGAGTGGCTACATTTTGAATACTGGT